CAGTAAAGTTATGGTGCCATGAGGGTTTCGGGGATGTGACATGGGAAGGGCACATGTGATTATGGGGTGGGTGTGTAGGTAGAGAAACTTGGTTGTTGGATGAGTGGATGATCCAAGAGAGATGAAGTGTTGGATTAATGTGATAAAGACGAGACGATGGATGGGTGGACGCCGTCTCTTTTTGGGGAGGGGTGGTCTTTTATCGATGAATTAGCAACGGGGTTCTGGTAGATCGGATACTCTCAACACTAGCGGTGATCAAGAGCACGGTAATTTAGCATTCATAGCAGGTAGTTCTTTTCTTTTTCTTGCTGCTCTTATCTCAGTCTTATACAGGTTATGCAGTCAGAGTCCGATCTACACCACTCAATCACCAGAAGAAAACAGAGCTATCGTTTCACGGCTTACTACTTACATATATATATATGTGCCCAAGACGGCCGGCATTGGTCGATCTAGTCTAGATATGAACAGGCAAGCATCCCCATGATTTTTCTCCTCACAAAAGATTCCCCCGCTTTCTCCAGGTTTTTACCCCGCTGCTGTTATCTTTTGGGCCTTGTTCTTTTTACCAGCCCACGTTCTGACTGAGTGAGCGAGAGCGTATAGTTCATAAACAAGTTCGTCATATACTTACTTGTGACACAAGACGTCCACATTACCGTATCCAACCCCCCCTATTTCACTTCACTGCATTCAAGAAAACCAGCATCCAAAATGGCGCCGTCGGAAACAAAGTTCAAAGTAGCAGCCGTCCACGCCTCCCCAATCTTTATGAACAAATCCGCCACCTTGGCCAAAGTGATCAGTCTTATTGAGCAAGCTGCCTCTGAGCAAGTCAGGTTCTTGGCCTTTCCCGAGACGTTTGTCCCTGGATACCCCTATTTTATTGAGTGCTACCCCCCTATTACGCAAGCTCCTGGTTTGTCCACCCCCCCCCCCCCGTCCCTTTTCCACCTCCTATTACTGACACATCTCCAGCTCTGGCAAGATACGCAGAAGAATCAGTCGTCGTATCATCCGACCTAGCCGCCGTGGCCCAAGCCTGCAAAGAAAAAAACGTGGGGATCAGCCTAGGGGTGTCGGAGCGGATGGAGGGTGGGTACACCCTCTTCAACTCGCAGGTCATGATGGATTCCGACGGGGAGATTGTCTCTGTCCATCGGAAGCTGCAGCCTACCTATGTTGAGAGGATGGTCTGGGCTCAGGGCGGCGGCGCAACCCTCGATGTAAAACCCCTTGCCGCAGTGGGTGGGTTCAACGTCGGCGGTTTGGCCTGCTGGGAAAACACCATGAACGGTGCCCGCCAGGCCCTCATAGCCCAAAACCAGGTATCCCCCCCCCTCCCCCCCAACTAGGGAAAGAAAAAAAAAAGATCCAACTCAATGCTAACCTAGTGTGTTGGATCAAGCACATCCACATCGCCGCCTGGCCCGCCCTCTCCACCCTCTCCGGCTTCGAATCAACCGCCGACGCCCAAATCGAAGCCCTAGCCAAAACCCACGCCCTAACCGCCCAAGTGTTTGTCTTGGTGGCTTCGAACTACGTCGATCAGACCTGCCTCGACTGGATGGCCGCCAACCTCGGCCCCCAATCCTTCGTCAAGCCAGGCGGCGGCTGGTCCTCCATCATCCACCCCTTTTGCTCCCTCCTCGCGTCCCCAGTGGAAGGCGGCAAATCGGGTGATGTCCTCGTCAAAGCCGAGATCGACCTCTCAGACCTCAAAACCGTCAAGGTCTGGATCGACAGCAACGGGCACTACGCCAGACCGGAAGTCGTCCAGTTCAGTCTTGACAAGACGCCTTTATGGGGGGATGAGAAGCGGGGGGAGGGGTGGTGGAGGAAGGAGGGAAGTTAATTACACATTGAATACCGGTTATGATGGGAAAAGGGGG